GCAGGGCCCTGGACAATCTTAATTTACTTCACATTTTCTTCCCAAGTGTACAATTCACACTGCACTTGGGGAGAAAACGTGAAGTAAATTAAGATCTACCTTGGAGCGAGGAGAGGAAAAGATGCCCAAGTGGAAAGTGAAATTTCATGCCATCATTTATAATTTATGAATAGAGATAAGTGGTTTCATATATTATTACGATGTCATTGGGTTCACTTAATTCCTAACAAATTCCACCAGTACAATGAGATGAATGCATCCTTATTTTTGTTTCAATAGGGCTGATTTTTATTAGTCAGCATGGAATATCCCAGGAGATATCTAGGCTTTTTTTTTGTTCATCTTTTCCTCTTTCTTTTTTTCTTGTGGAATATCTTGGCTTAGTAGTATTTTTTTTTTTTTTTTTTTTTGAATAGGTAGGATAAGTGGGTAAAGTAAAACTTAAAGCCCAGGAAGACATTGAGAATCCTGGAATTGGTTATATAATTAGACTTGTTTAAACTGGTTCTTTTTACTGAAAAAGGTTTCTCAAACTTAGTCTCATATATGAATCACATGGGAGCCTTTAAAAGTCCTGATGCACAGGTGTGTGTACAGGCGATTAAGTCAGAATCCAGCCGGGCCTGGTAAGCACATGCTTGTGATCCCAGCACCCTGGGAGACCAAGGCAGGAGGACTGTAATTTCAAGCCCAGTCTGGACAATATGGAAACATAATGAGACCCTGTCTAAAAACACCCCTAAAAACCAAAAAACCAAAAAACACCTACAAACAACAACAAAAAACCTACGTGCCAGAAATATACTTCAGTGTGAAGGCCCTAGGTTCAACCCTAGAATTAAAAAAAAAAATCCAAAACAACACTCACCAAAAATCAAAACCCTAAAACCAAACAACCAAACAACAAAACCAACAAAATCAGAAGAATCTCTAAGGACGAGACCCAGGGATCAGATCTTATGCTGGAAACTCTACTGAGATTCATGCTGGACTCCTTTGTGCCTCAGTGTCTTCATCAGGACATTTAAGAAGATAATCTAGGGAAAAAGAGGTTCATACAGCTACACTGCCCTAGAGCATCAGGGACACAGAATGGGATACGGTAGGTCAACATTTAAAAAAAAAATGCGATAAAGTAATACATTCGAAATATGACAATGATGATAATTTGGTACTAATTACAAATAAGAAATTTTGTTTGGGCAATGTCTACTCATTGTGTGAATTCATTACCACTACGTTTTCTATCCACAAAACTTCCACTTGGAGGAAATGACTCAACCTTTACCCCAATTCCTAGAATGATGAAGATATTGCCTGTTCCACTCCTTATGTGTCCAACTCCACGGTTCTTTACCAGATGTCCTGTAAGGTAAATCAGTCGAGCCTGCCTTTGTGCCCCTGGCTTGCTGCTACCACCCATGACAGAGCTGGCTTGTGTTCTCTGCAGGGCAAGGACACCCGGGAGCGGATGGAGTCTGTATCCAGAGTGCGTTAAAAATAAATGGGAGCTCAGAAAGAAGCTCCTGGAGTGAGGTTAAAATAAGTGACTTTTCCTGACTCGATTTTTCAATTCTATCGCCTCATGCTCTATTTTCCGATTTGTAAGAGCCCACCGTTTTGATTTCAAGTGCGCCCGGTGGAAAGGTCATAGTATGAGGGATAGAGAAAATTAGAACTAATGAGCACACAGGAAGGGCTTTCTGCCGACTTCCTCAGCGTTCACATAATTATTATTACTTTCCTGCCCCTTAGGGGGCATCCTTGTGTGGCAGTCAGATATAATTTGATTGCCAAACCCAAAATGTCTTATTAAGTGGGTATCCTTTTAAATAACGAATTTATTTATTTGGATGGCTTTATCTTTTGTGTTTTCCACTGGAAGACCTCAACAGATACTAAATGCTGGTTGTGAAAGCTTACTTTGTTATTTGTTGTTTTGAGACAAAGAAAGCAAGTACTGTTTCGATTTAGTGGCTATATAAAAATAATTTGAAAAGGGAAACCCTCAGTTTCCCCACCAAGTTTTTGTTTTTATCTTGAGACAGGATCTTGCTGAATCACTAAATTTCCCAGGTTGGGCTCAAATTTGTGATCCTCTTGCCTCAGACTTCTAGAGTGCTGGGATTATAGGCATGTGCCACCACACCCAGCTATTCTAAGTGTTTAGAAATTTTATTTATTTATTTGAGACAGGGTCTCACTATGTAGCTCAGTCTGGCCTTGAACTCCCTACGTATCCCAGGCTGGCCCCCGAGTGTTCGTACTGCAGGGTTGTGCCATGTGCCCGGCTAGACATTTTGCTAAAACCAGTATAGATTTTTCTCCTCAGAATGTAAAAATACGTTTGAATTCTATAAAGGATATTTTGGTTTTAGTTTTAAGCTTCCTAGATAATTAATTAAATGTTATCTTTGCTTTTAGAAAATAATTTTAGGGAATCGGAGAGAAAAGCTGACATGATAATAGAAATTCAAGTTCCAGAGAAGCCACAGAAACTGCCAGCAATGTATGACCATGTGTAAAAAAGTGTACAAAGTAGAGAGAAGAGGCCGGAAGTTACTGCTCACATGCATATGCCTTAGGTGGGAAAATGAACAATTTTAGTTTTTCAAAGATAACAACCAGAAGCTTTTAAATTTTTTCTCTACCCCAATTAGGTTGGACTATTATTGGTAGAGCTGGCCTCTCACATATAAACACATTTTGTCACATTCACAATATTATCATCTAGCAAATATCTGTGTCTGGCTTGATTTTTTTGTTTTGTTTTGTTTTTTCTTTTTCTTTTTGGCTTTGGTTTTTCTCCGGTACCAGGAACCGAACTCACGACCTTGCGCTTGCCAGGCAGGCGCTTTGCCGCTGAGCTAAATCCCCAGCCCCCCTGTGTCTGGCTTGAACTGACCCTTCCCAGTTCTAGGGTCACACCTCCTTCCCAGACTGCACACCTCCTTCCCAGACTTCTCCTTCTGCACACCTCCTTCCCAGACTTCTCAGAACTGAGCTCTGGTCCACCACAGAACCGTCCCCCAAGAGGCCAGTTGGGCTGCCCTGCTCATTGCCCCTAGCTCTCTGGCTCTCTCACACACTACTGCGAAAGGGCAAGTCTAGTAGGCAGTGAAAATAAGGCCCACTTAGAAATCTGAAATGGTTATTTATCGACTTATGAAGCTTTCCTCTATAGCTCATTATGAGCCTAAGAAGGTCACATTTTGAACTGAGACTTTCCAGTTCATTCTGTATGCTCACCTTGTCTCAGTCTTTCTAAGCCTGACACACAATATGACAATTTGTGGACCAAACGCATTTAGAGGGCCTGTGGGTGGTTTCTGGCTCTGCCCTTCTGCACCTCAAAGGGAAATCACTGAGATCTGGGTGAGTTAGTGTGAATGGCTACTAACTTGTGCTAATAATCCACATCGTATCCTTTTGTTACCTTTGCAGTGGTTCATGTATGAAAAAGGGAGGGCAGAGGTAGTGTTCTGCATAGCTTGGAGTAAGGTCAACTGGCGGCAAATTCTGACTCAGTTGTAAGTTTTGGTACTTTGGGCAAATCATCTCCCACAGCCTTGGTGTCCTGATCTGCAAAATGGATACAATACTCACCCTACCTAATTTGTAAGTCTGTTATGAGGGTTACATAAGAAGCTTCCTCAACTTTCTCACTTCACAGAGAAGGATCCTTTTTGCTTAGCATGCTGGGGTAAACACAAAGGTTGCTGAGGTTCAAAGTGACCACTCCTGGACATGAGTTCTCCTGCCCTCCCCTCCCAGGGACTGAGGTGTTACTATCTTTGCACACCTGTACACCTGTTGGGACACTGTTATATGAAAAGACTTAAAACAAACCTTAGCTGTTGTACATGTCCATATCCCTTTTATATTCTCCTGCCATATAAATAAATATAACCTTGCAGTAGAGCGTGAAGAATCACGTTCAGACATGTAAAGTGCTAGAACCTAAGCCTATGGGCATAAGTGGCAGAACATGAATAAGATCCTAGTCTCTCGTTACTTTACATGCAGTCACCTCACCTGTCGGCTGTGTTTTCAGTCACGCCTGTCCTCCATAATTACTTACTGTGAAAAGAAACCTCCTTACTACTCACCAAGGTGATAATTCAGACTAAGAAAGCCTTTTGTTGCCTTCAATTTATAGCCAGATCATTCAGTGTGGGAAAGAGGCTGGTGAAAAATGAGCTCACAATTTTATGGCTGTCCATTTCTATGTCCGTATCTGTATCCACCATCCTGTCTTATATTTTGGCAGTAAAATCCGGACAACCTATCCACAGAACTTCCTTATCTGCTGACAGGGGTCAGCAACTAGGGTAGAAAGCTATTAGGCTGTGGTGGTCTCTGGAAGTTTAGCACTCCATGGGTATTAACTTTTATTATTATTCATCAAAGCAAATCATATCAATCCGTTGCAGAGAGATATAAGGCTAAAAACATAACTCTGCTCTGGAGAATTCTTTCCTAGCTAAAGAAATATCATTAGGACCTGTATGGAAAGGACAGCCACAGAAGAAGCATCTAGGAGCTTCGGGAAATGCAGAGCCTTGGGCTGCTACAGGAAAATCTGCCTTTTAAGGAGATCTCTGTGAGCACACTCCAGTACTCTGAGGTGGATGCAGACTCTCCAAGGTCATCTGTGCTGTTTGGTTGGAATGACACCAAAGCAGGACTGGCTCAGAGAGTCTTCTTTGTCTGATGATTATTTAGCCCCATTCTAGACCAGAGACTTAAGTTGTACGGTAGGAGTAAGGACCACATGCGCTTGCCTTGTAAGAAGGCTGTCCAATGGGAATCGGATGAAATTCACACATCAGATGCCCTCAAGGAGCAAGTGTAGGATCCTGCAATGGCCTGGCACATTTGCACGGAGGAACAAACCCGAATATCATACTTTATAAAGCAGGTGCTGTTGTCAGGAAATCTACATACCCTTTACAAAGGGAAAGTTAGGAATGTGTACTGGAAGAGAGGCAGTCACTTACATTAACCCAGGGATGCTCAAGGACCTGCACAGCTGAAAATCGCTGATCCACATTGACCAACAGCATCATGGTAATGAGCTCCTGAGAAGGGCAACATGAGACTACATTTATCTGACTTTGAAGGTGACGAGCTGGGTGTCTCTACAAGCAGCCATGCTCTTTTAATTTAGAAAAGCATTTATAAATCTCTAAAGCTTGAGTATATCAACTCCACTTACCTGTGACTACCTGAATAATGCCTTCAAAAAGGAAAGGAATGATGAACCATGGGAATTATAAACATGTAGAGCTTGCAGTTGATAGAAAGATGAACTTAATGTTTAAATAAGTTCCATAAAAAGGTTTTAGTAGAAAAGACTTATACACACCAAAGAATTAGTAGCCCTTTTATGACAATGGTTTTACAATTTAAAGCTAGCTTTTTAGAGTAATTTTATATGTCATATTTTTTAAAAAAACTAATTAAATTTTCACTTTGATAGTTGAAAGGAAAAACAGATCTTTTAACTGATTTCCAGATAGCACCTTTATGTTTAAAAGAAAAGCATAAAGAATGATGTAGAATTGTCAACAGGTAGCTGGTTAAATAGGACTTTTGAGGGAGAGGTGCTGGTGATTGAACCCAGGGGTTCTTATATGCTAAGGACATTCTCTACCACTGAGCTACATCCCCAGCCCAATGGAACTATTCTCCAGTAGCTACATAATCCTAAGGAAATGTGCTATAGTTGTTTCAAAACTCTCCAGATTCATTAATACACAGGAAACAGAAGTATGAAGGGGTACGTTATTTGATGGTTTAGAAAGGAATGAAAGTCCTCATGTCCTCAGAGGGACTTGGTCCAGGAAGACACAGCTTAGTTCTTCATAATGAGTTTGTTATACAGTTGTACCCTTTGAATTAAGAGTCCTCTATAAAAAAAGTGGATAGATATGTTTTTTTCCAGTTTCTTTACACACACAGGCTCTGGGTACCACAGGGAGTCTACTTCAGCTTTCTTTATTCATTTTCTAGCTTGGACTAAGATATTAAAGCAACATTTGTGTGTGATGCCCTTTGTCGGGTGTTGTGGGGTTGAAGAGGATGGTCCAATCTGTCAGTGAACATGAGCCCCCAGGTTATAGGGTGAGAGCATTCAGAGTTAGGCAGTTTCCTGCACCGGTGTACAGGCGAAAATGCCTCCCTCTCCTGGCCCACTCAGCTCTATCCTCCCAGCTCCTTTTGCTTTGGACCTTTCCTCTGGAACTTCTCTCAGTTCTCCACATTGTCCTAAGTCCAGATGTGGATTTCTGGCCAGTGGAAGAAAGTGAGAGTCTTGTGGTCAGTATACATCATTGTCTATGCAAAATGATCAGATCTAAAGGTTAGGGTTCTAAATTGAACTTATACTTAAGACAGCAAAAGGAATGTCATATGCTTTGAGTAACAAAAAGGTCATTATTTTCAACAATAAATTTCCAAAAAAACTTAAGGCAGTTTTTTGAGATATGATAAAAGTCAAGTATTACTTGCTCAAAATGCTTGGGACCAGAGTATTTCAGATTTTGGATTGTGTAATATTTGCATATATCTAAAGAAAGACATTGGGAATAAGACCTAAGTCTAAACACAAAATTCAGTTGTTTCATATTCATTTTATAAACACAACCTAAAGCTGATTTTACACAATATTTCTAATGTGCCTGAGCTTTGACTGTGACCTTTGTCATATAAGGTTGAGTGTGGAATTTTCCACTTGTGACAGCATGTTGGTGCTCAAAAAGTTTCAGATTTTGGAGTATACTGGCTTTTCAAATTAAGGATGTTCAATCTGTATAAATTTTAAAGAGTTCAATTAAAAGGATTTCCTTTTCCCCCTAAGGTTAACTAATATCTCAAAGTAATATTTTGGCAATTTAAAGCTAGCTTTTTAGAGTAATCTTCTTAGATGTTGATCTATTATTAGTTTTTCAGTTGTGTTATGATGTACATATAATTTACTCCTTCACCCATTTTTAAGTGGACAGTTCAGTGGTACCCAGTATATTCACCTTGCTGTGCAACCATCCTCACTACCCATCTCAGATGCTGATTCTTTCATATGGCGAGATAAAAGCCCTCTAGCCTCTAAACCCATTATCTTTCAAGACCAAACTTAAAACTTTTGACCCTTCTTCTCTTTGATTTGCTTACTCAATCAGTGGTTATGTACTGGTCATAAGGCACTGATAATAAGGAATGAATGGTCATTTAGGCACTGATAACAAAGAATGAATGAAATAGATAAAAATTCTTCCTTAATAAGTATTTGCTAAGAGGACCATGATCAAATGGATTGATGTCTGTGAAATCTTGGCAAGCCTAGTGCTTACAGCCAAAATGTGTTTACCAATCATGTTTATGACATCATTAGTCTCTTTCTACAGAGTGACTTGTAATCAGTAATTCCTTTGTCACACCCTATATGAAAGAGGAAGGCACTGGAAACCTACCTTTGCAGAATCGGAAACATTGTCCCAGTACGGAGAAGGAAAGTCCACTTGCCCCATCAAGATCTGATCAAAGAGCACCTCCTGGTCATCACCACTTCTGTGTAGATGAACCACAAGTGAAAACAGCACTGAAATGTCAGTTCAGGGCATGACTTGTCATTCCTAAGCATCAGAGCCCTTCCTCTTCCTGTAAATGTGTACAGTGTGTGACTTTAAAGTAACTGAATGTATCAGTACACAACTGTTGGGTCAATTAAGAAAGAATGACTTTTAAAATTACATGAGGAAGATTTATGGAAAGTGTATAAATCAGCATGTGCAACATGGAAAATGTTAACAGGCATTGCAAGTGAAATTCTTACTATTTTTTTTTTTCCTACCGTAGTCTCCTTTATGTCAGAATAGCAAATGGATCATTCAGAAAACAGACAAATGCTTTGTTGGTGCTGAATAAAAGACTGTTGCCCATACCCACGAAATGGAGGGAAACCACACAGCAAGATGTAAGTGATTACACCAGCTGCCCAGATGTCCACCTTGAGGCCATATCTGGAAAAATAAGCGATGTTAGAGTTAGCAAAGTCAGGCCAGGACAAATTATAGGGCACGCTAAAATAGATGACGCTTCTATTATGAATCCAATGTGAAACTGAACAAAAGAAAAACCTAACAACAATCATTAAAACTAACAACAATCACTAGCTGAAACCCAACAGCTAAACAGAGTTCGAGGTAAGAATAAAAAAATAATGATTTTTAAGAAGGCTATCTAAGGCACATGAGTAAAAATCAAAGCAAATGGTGTTTAGGCTCATACCCAAATATCAGTAATGGAAAGGTTTCAGCAAAAAGGTTTATTATAGTCATATCAATTTTAAAATATGGAGGGACACAAGAGTAATTTTAGAAATAGTAATTATTTGAAGGACATTTTCTGGTTTATAAGCACTGAGGTATATTATCTTATTTTGTTTTCCCAATTACTTTGTAGGTTGGACAGGGCAAATATGGCTCATTTTATAGAAGAGAGAATTAAGGTTTAGAAGGTCATTTTGCTCAAGATAGTACAGCTGGTCAGTGGCAGACCTGGGCTCTAACCTAGGTCTTTAAGAATCTAAACCCTTTTCCCATCCATCCCACCCCACCCCACTACATAAGCTGTCAGAATCTGTCCCCACAGGAAATGTGGCTATACCAGGCAGCACCATCTGAAGGCAATCCAGCAAGGTACTAATGAAAGATCCCAAATCACTAAATTTGATGAATAAAAAAATTCACCTTCTCTCATATGTCTTCCTAGGGACTTCCCTGGCAGGGTCCCTTTGCATTTGCTCTTTTTGTGCACTGGGTCTATGCTGCAAGCAGAAAAGCTCCTTCTAGATGGTCACAGTGGAGGGTACCACCTGGGTCTCAGGTGAGGGTTAAAAGTGCTCCTGAGAAATTAGGGCCGTCTCCCCTCTCCACCCGCTTCCCCATACCTTCTGTTGAAGTTTAGCATCTCAAAGCCCTGTCTATGGCTCTGGAAAAAATAGGCTTTTTACTGAAAGTTCCTTTGTCTCAGCCTGACCTGAGTTCAAATATTAACTCAGCCACTATCTGGTCCTGAGCTTTCAAGGTACTTAATCCATCAGTTGCAGAGTCTCAGCGTCCCCGTATGCACAATGTGAACAGGACTGTTTATTGGAAGACCAGGAATTAAGCAAATGAGCTTAAGAACTATCATATGGAAGGCCCTTAGTAGGTAATAGGTGCCCCCATTTTCTCCTTTCCCATTCTAGGGTAGATACTTTCATTCATCTGAATCTACACATAGAAGCCAGCAAATTTCCAGTAGCCCTCTGATTCCTAAGAGTGCTTATATTCCTCATGAAACTGATGGATCTCCAAGAGGATCAGAAGGGAACCCAAACTAGAGAGGGCAGCTGAGAGACATAACCACCACCAGAAGCTGTAAACACTGCACATAGCAGTCTGTTTCTTCCATCTTCCAAGATGAATTAATCACCATGGCTGTACGTCTCTCTGCTGGTCTGAACATATATTTACTCTAGGTTTAGTAACTGCAGTTCTGCTTTTTACAGGCCAAATGAAAGTCTTCAGCAAGACAATGGTAATCGGCAACTTGGTTGGGAAAGCACTGTAAAAGGTTTTTTTTGTTTTTTTTTTTTTAAAATAAAGTGTGAAAGAAACTTGGTAGCTGAGTCTGTCTGTGTAGAACAGCACAATACTATGTTTATTACTCTTGAAGCAGCCCAGCTCTTTCATAACCAAAGCACTAAACACAGGGAAAGCATTTACCCAGTCTCTGCAATGATTTCTGGAGCCACATAGGTTGGGGTGCCACAGACTGTGTATAGGGGCCCGTCCACAATGGTGGCCAGTCCAAAGTCACCCAGCTTCAGTGATTTGCTGCCATCTTGGTGCTCATATACCTAAAAGGAAAGTGAAAATCACCATCATCTTAAGACCGAGAGTTCAAAAGCTTTCCCTTAAGGAAATGAGGGATACATGTTTAAATTTAAAGCACATAAAGTAAAAATAAATCTAGCAATTATATGAGGATATACTCAAAAAAATTTCTTTAGATATCTACAAAATTGGAAACACGGACAATTAACAAATGGAAATTTGTTAAGTAAATGATGATACCTTTACAATGAGATGTTCTTGACCATTCAAATGGTGATGTGAGATTATATTTATTGAAATAAATTTTCTTTGGCAATTGACCACAGCAGATTACAGATTCTTTTGTATAAAATAACCATTAAAGAAAAAGATATGACCAAAAGTCTGAAGGAGCACAGTATTGGTATCTCTCATGTCGGGTGGTAAGGATTATGGAGATATTTCTCCCTTTTTCTTATTGGTATGTGATGTTTTCTGCAATTAAAATCAATTTACATAATAAAATGAAGCACACAAAGTCTCTATTGCAGCATCCCCAACTTATGAAAATGACTTCTTCCTTCCAACGTGTAAGCAGCCCTTTAGTGAATGAACAAAAAATACCTATGCTCATGCCAAAATACTTCATTTTCAGTGCTCCACATTTCCAACAAGATGTACCTACATTTTTATTAATAATTGAAAGGGATATTAACATTGCATTTCACCTGTGGCAATTTGGAGAGATTAATCACATGCAGAGTCAGCATTCTGTCCAAGTTACCTTATTAAGGCAGTAAAAGTTTCCAGTCTTTCACTCAACAAATCAAAAAAGATGCCTGTCACTCTAGGCAAGTATTTTTACTACTTTAATTCTAGCCCATGATCAAACCAGGGGAGATGCTCTAAACACTACCCCAAACAATTCTGGTGATCTCCAAGGCAGGATCAAAGTTTCTTCATAATTCTTTTCCAGTGCCCTCTGTTGAAATACACAAGCTAAAGAAAAGAAAAGTGCAATAAATTTCTAGTACTTCCATCTAGGGCAATCTTCAGGAGATCTCTTAAAGAAATGGGGAAGTTTTTCCTATACATCAAAGAAAAATTCATCCAGCAAATTCAAGCTGGATGTTCTCCTGTTATCACTCTATGATCATCTGTTACTTGCTGAAGCAGTCTGAACCTCTTGCACAGCAAGAGATATCTCCACACATCAGGAGCGCTGCTACCGTTTACACCCCATGTCTGTTTCCCTCTGAAAAAGCCTATTCATTTTGCATTCTGTTGCAGTACAAAGTGCAGACGTTTGGCCAGCTGAGTTGCAATATCAGCAATGACCATTTGGATCTAACTGTTTTGGCAGAGGCAGACAAACACATTCCCCTCTCTGGAGAGACTGTGTCTTTTCTGTGTAGAAATTATTTTTTACATCTTGTCCACACTCAGACTATGAAGTCTTCTTTCCCAAGGCTCTGCATCATGATCAAGTTTGGGCTGTCCTGGCTTCCAAAGACTGGTGGGGGTCACCTGCACTTGGGGGGTTAGGGCAAAGGCAGCCAGCCACGTGACCAGTTGTTATCTGAGATGGACACTGTTCTCCTACTTAGTGAAGCAACGGTGCAGTCCTGGTCACCATAAAGTGGTTTGGGGTAGGACTTTGAGATCTCAGAGCCTGTGTTCTTAAGCCTAAGAAATGTATAAATTGTAGCCCTAACATGCCAGCCATTCTGGTCATTTAAACAATAAGGAAATATTTGCATGAGAAGAAATATGAGATGCAAACATCTAGTAGATTATCTAGTTTATTTCTCAGAGCAAAATGGTTTACTTCTTTAATTCCATTTTGTTTACTAATAACTTTTCATTGTTTTCGTTCTATTTTGTTTTTTTTGTTGTTGTTGTTGTTTGTTTTTTGAGACAACATCATGTTGTGTGTTTCAGGCTGACCTTGAACTCCTATGAAGCCCAAGCTGGCCTTGAACTTGCGGCCATCTTCCTGCCTGAGCCTCCACCCCCCCACCCCCCACCCCACCGAGTGCTGGGATTACAGACACAGCAGCACTGTGACTGGCGACCAATAACCTTTTTAAAATTCAAAGTAACCCCTTGCTTTGATGTTCTGCTAGGTTCAAACTTTCATGGTTTGTGCTTTGTGAGACTGTGCAGAATCTGGCCTATGCAACCCTATTTATGTGGAAACTTTTTAGTTGTTTTCCAAATATAGTTTCCATATCACCTAACTTTATTAAAAAGCTTTACAAAAGCAGATGTTGGAGGATCCAGTCATTAAATCCCATTATAGTTCTTAATATGACCTGTAAGTCTCTTACACACAGCCAAGGTTTGGCTTTTGAACAACTATAGTTTAATAGGAATTCCATCTAACATATAGCCACATGCTAATCATGTGTAAGATAATGATGTTTAAGGTGAGCAATTTTCAATAATTAAAAAAAGTTCAAGACCCCATGTTTAATGTTCAGTATTACAAAACAAACAAAAGAAAAAAAAAACTAAAAAATCTACCTAAAATAAAGAAAATGAGGATTACCTGAAAGTAATAATACTTTGAAAAAAGTGCAAATGATTTAAATAGAGTACATTACATCTATAGTTTTAATATTTCTTTTTAAATCTCTCTTTAGTCATGTGTGCAACCCTCCCTGTTTGCTTGGCAAATGGTAGAGTAGAATTTTCATGAACATAAAGAGGTTCAAGTGATATTTAGGAGAGACAGAGAGCTTAGAGGCAAAGGCCTATTACTTGTAATTGAAAACATTTCAAGACGCAAGTACCTTAGAAATGCTTCAACAAAATATTTTTGCAGGTGAGTAAATACCCAGGCCTTGAGTTTGGAATTCTGTTTAACATATTGTCAGGCAGGGCAGGAAACAAGGTTACTTTGGGTTTTTCTTCTGTCAACACTTTGAGAGAAGAATGGAGAAGAATATAGTTCAGGGTTTCTTCTCCTCCGGTAGGAGAGACCCTCTCCTAAGGGGCATAATGCGTCCACTTACAACCAGGGCTAACCATTAGTGCCTGCTAACACCCTAGCTACATTCACCCTTATCTACTGCAAAGCCAGTTACAGAGGGACAAGAGTGAGGCCATTTGCAAATGTAATCAAAAGGTCACAGATAGTTCAGTACATCTGTTTCAGGTGTGCGCGCGCGCGCGCGCGCGCACACACACACACACACACACACACACACACAGCCCCCATGTATCCATTATCACAAAACCATCTTAACATTTTCAAAAATGGCAGCTATAAATTCACTTTGAACCAAGTTTTTAGTTAAAAGTTAGAAACCAGAAAGGCTTCTCACAAGTTTCCCTTTAAAATGCTGAATTCTTGGTTACTACCCTTGGAATCCGATCTGACACTGTTCTTCAGCGTTTCTCCCCAGCCTGACCATCTTTCCCAAAGAAGGTTAGCACTCTGCAAGCAGAGACTTGGATGACCTGATCCAGTGTGTGTGGTTCTAAGGTATGAAGAACTTTTGGCTGTAACTGTATGTTAAAGCCTCTACAAAAATGACCCACATGTGAAGTGGGAGTATATTAATTGTCAGTCAAGGAGTGTTCACTACAAGAGATATAATTTAACGTTCATCCCAGGTCCTTTAAATGCTATTGATGTTCCCTCACACCTTAAACACCGAGGGGCTATTAAAGAGACGGGGATCAGTGCAAATTACTCAGTATGTAGTGCTTTCACTGTTTTAACTAAGCAATAAAACTGCGTAATTGTACAACACTAATTGAATGCAACTACACATAATTGTGGGTTGCCATATGTATCCTATTACCATAAAGACTGTCAGTATTTTGTAAGCTACTCTTGTGATCATTGCAGATGGTTACAGTCAGAGAAGTTGTTCTCTAGGGTTTATTATACGGCTATAAAGACATCTCATGATTTGACAGGCTAAATGTGTTAAGTGGCAACAATTATGAAAAAGTTCCAATTAAAAGCTGAAGGTATGTCATAGCAAAAGGAAACAGAATGAAAGGTCAGGAATATAAAGTTTTGGGTACACTGGTGTTTCTTTTTCTTTTCTTTCAAGGGTTTTCTTTTTGTATCTTTCTCATTTATTTGGGGCTTTGCACTAGCTATAAACTGGCTGAACAGTAGATGTTTGGGCATATGCCTGACTTCCCTTGGATGAGAAATTGAGACCATTTGGAAGAGTTATTTGAAAAAATAAAACTTTTAATATACAGTCATAAAGTGCAGCCGGTGGCCGTAAAATATTATAAAAATTCACAGATAACCTGAACCCAGTCAGATGGTTTCTGCGATTCCCATAATCGGGAACTAAAACCTGACAAATATAACAGATGTATTGGACCAAACCAATTCCCTGTGTTGCTACAAATTCAAGGATAGCCTTGTTGAAAAGTTGGATAACGAATCATTAGTAATCACTGAAATAGTTTTCACAGAGGAGGTTAATAGGTACTAAAAATTACTTCACCAAATAGAATTGAAGAAAAGTGGTGTGAAATTGACAAAGGCATGAAAAAAAGGTCAGTTTACTTTTTAACATTTATGACATCCTTTTAAAAAGACTGATTTTCCTCCAACCAGGGAAAATGGTTGTTATGATGCTTTCTAAGATAAATGGATTAAATCTAAATCTTTAATCTTTAAGAAATGAAGTATAACAACATTTAAGCAGGGAGTTATTTTGCAAGATATACTTTATGATCCCATATTTTTGAATTAGACCTCCTGGAAAAAATGAACTCTAATAAAAGCACTTTATATACACATGTGAAATATTTATGATACCAAGAGTTGAGTAAAATAATGAAAACAATAAAAGTTGCATAGAACTCAGAAATGAGTAAGCCACAAGAGTGATAACAATATTAAAGGGAGAAATAAAATCATTTGTACAAGTATTACACTGGAGATACCTGGGAAGATGGAGACATAAACGGAAACTCCAGGAAACCCGATTCTTAACCTCAAATTAAAATAGTCATGAAATATCTAAAAAGGAGTTCCGGGCAGCCGTAGTAAGATACACAAAGC